CATAATAAGCACAGTATTGACCCTAAGATTCAGAAGTTGAAGTCTGAACTCCACCCAGATCAAGGAGACATTGGCTCTGGTAAGTTGTAGGCAGAAGGCTGAAGAAGAACTTGCAAAGGCCTGCCTCATCTCTGCAAGAGTGGAAGGGAACTAGAAGTTTACTTCTATCAAAAGGAGAAAGAAATAACATAGTTTAAGTGAACATAAGGGACTGAAACAGAAAGGAAACAGGATATCTATTAGGTTTTAATTGAAGGTTTTGTTGCATAGGAGAGAGACATTTTCTCAAAGCCACGAAACTGAGAGAACATGATGATAAATTAGTGTGGAAAACAGCTCCAGGACACAGGAAACCTGGCAGAGGGGCACAGAAATTACCGTAGTTCCACATCAGCTTGTACAATCACAGGCAGACAGAACAATCTCCTTAGAAGGTTCTCATTCTCACTCACATAATTTAGAATTTAATTGAGTAAATCAATATCTGCAAGGTGGTCATTAATGAGAAGGAATAAAAGTAATAAAATAAAGTAAAAATGGAATCTTTGAGAACAAAATATTAAAGACTATAATCAAGCATACTTACCATATTAAGTAAAATAATGACTAGAACCATGTTAGAAGAAAGACGAAAGATGAAAAATAAAGACGATGTCAAGACATGATCGAGTTGAAAGTAAGATATCAGTAGATATTTTTTAAAGCAAAGTATAGATAGAACTGGATATAGACTTAATGAAGTGGAAGAAAAACTTGAAGAAAACACTCAGCTTGTTGTACAGTGCGATGAAAAGAATAAGGAAGATTGAGAGACACGGGGAAAAGACTGAAGATGTAAAGTATAATGTATGTAGTGTAATACAGAAGTACCAAGAGAAAGGAAATAGGAGAAGGGATTCAAACAGAGCACCAAACAAAGTTTGCTTTGCAGTTTTGAAAACACACATGAAATTTATAATTCAAATGTTTATAGATAAGATTAAATAGGACTATAAACATGGAATGCCCATCACATAGCTAGAAGGTTCAAAAAAATTCTGCGTCTATCTTCTCTTTTTCCAACTCTTTTTCTCTCCTGTCTATGTGGTCTGTCCCTCCCCACCTGTCATATGTGGTCATCTATCCTGCTGACCACCACTACTGTCATGAAATATGGGGCATGATTTTATAGACTTAGAATTCTCTTAACATTTCTGTCCAATACTTTGAACTCCACCAATTGAAGACTGTCCTTCTGTTCATTATCTGCTTTTATATCAACATCATTATATTTTTCTTCACTAGTTTGTGTTTTAAATACCTGTCTGAGGCCAACTGCCCTGGGCTTGCTAAAGCAGAAATTATTCCTATTTTTAAGATCAAACTAATGGCTACAAGTCTCAATGAGTCCTTAAGAATATATGGACTGAATGAAAGTGTTAACCTTTTATGTCATAATCAGGAACTACAGCACAATTTCTTACTGTGGTTTACTTGAAGATGTATGTTAAACAATTTTTATGTGTTTTATAAATGGGACGCACTAACATTGTCTAACATAGTGTAAAATACCTCAAAGACTAAATCTATAATTTATTTCTACTAGTGAAGTTAACAAAAATATCTAACTCTTAATAGTCACATGCTTTGAATGTCTGTATTAGCTTTTCTTAATAGAGCCATAACCTTTAGCACATAGGATTTTGGGGAACATTCAAGAAAATCATAGATGTGCCTAAATGCTAATTTTCATGAATAATTTTATTTCTGAATCTGGTTCAGATTTTCCAGTGTTCAATCAAGTCACATGAATTTTTGTTGGACGTGAACTTGTTTATTTATTTTTTCCTAGGTGGAAACATACCCAGGGCTAGATTAAGTGCATGATTTCTCTTTGTCTTGCTTCTAAGATCTCTGTCTTCACTGATTTTATATTTTTACTCTTCAGTTTCTTCCTTTTGTTTTTCATATGTTTCTGCTTCCTCTTTTTCTACAAACTAATAACCAAAAATCAATAATTAAAAATTGAGTTTAAATGATGAATTTTATTATTAGATGTAAGTATAGAGTTCCATGTTTTGTATTCTACTTATGGAAATTTTATGATTGTTACATTTTTTAGTTCCTTTTGTAAAATAGTAGCAGAAGCAACCTCCTATAAAGCAAAAACTTCATATACTTAGATACTTGTTTATAAAAAATCACTTGATATATTTTCTACTTTTCTATGTTTATTGTTTATTTTCTGGCTGTTGTTTATTTCCACTATTTTATGTCTATTATTTACTTTTATATGCCATACTTATAACAGAGCTAATGTTTCTTAAATTCAGAGCTTTATATTTAACTCTCCAAAATGCATAAAAATTTACATATAGAAGGATTTTTAATGAACAAATTTGTTTTTAAAATGTGGGGAAATATTTAGAGTCCTGAGATAATCATTCTGTGAAAAAATATTCTGAGGAACTTGTCTTCCCAGTAAAAAGACTAATTCTTCTTCTTATTGTATTCAGTTATAATAAATTAACTGTAAAGCTACTTTGTACAGTGTTTCTGATCTGACTAGTCATACTAATGACATAAGATGTCCTCATTTTAATTCCTTTAATGTAAAATGCTATCTACTTCTCTCAAAGAGAAGCAGTCATTCTGGGCCAGAAGAAAGTTTATTCGTGTGAGTGTGTGCAAGAACGTTTTGCTTCTGTGAAGAACATGTTGCAAATTTCTTTCTTTCTTTAAAAGCCACTAAATGATCATACTTGTTCTTAAAATTTAAAAGTGTCTCAGAAAGCTGTTCCACAAGGCAAAGCTTTTCTGCTTTATCACAAAGTAGTATTTGTTTGTATTTATGGGAATGACTTTTATTGCTTTCACTAAAATCATATATTGCTGCATTATCTGTCTTCATCCTCTAAAAAGATTCTCTTGTAGACATTAATTAAATGTTAAAAGTATCCTATTTAAAAACATAAATAAGACAACATGGATTTACAGTCAAATTGTATTGAAAATCATAACCAAGACAGTAAAATAAAAATGGGTAAGGAGGAAAAAAGACAAAATGAAAGTGCACAGTAATTTTCTCAAACTTTCTGTGTAATGGACTTAAATGAATATAAAGAAAAATTAAGTGGCAATGACAATGAGAAGAAAAGACAATGAGTCTAACAAAAGTTGTGCATATGTTATAAATAAAGAGATTATAAAAATGTACAGATATTAGAGAACATTTCATAACTAACGATCAGGAGTAGGAAGATCTAATAAAACAAATATGTCAACATTTCCTCCAACTATATATTTATTGTAATTATAAGTAAGACTTTAATTATTTTTCTTTCTATAATCCACACTGACTTTAAAATTAACTTTGTAGAATGCGTGGTCAAGTGGGTCCTAGGAGAGCAGTTTGATGTTCCAGTTGGCAAACTTATTGTCATGATAAAACTTACAATAGTGGACATTGTGCCATGGAAGTGATAACAGGTAGAGTGATAGAATTGAATAGACAGCAATGAGAGAAAATGCTCCTATTTAGAAATGCCATATTTCAAAGATCTGCAAGATGTATTGGGAAAGAAGATATACTCAATAATTGATCCAGTAACAATTGGCAATCCATGGACAAAATGAGTGTGAACAGGTGTCTCACATCACATGTCAAAACCAGTTTTAGGGAAGGAAATGAATTTTAAGTAAAATGCTCCAAAATTTCTAACTATAAAATTGGTTACTTGACCATAAAATTAAGCAAAATATTTTAATCAAAATTCAGTATAGGTGATTACAACGTGGCACCATTGTGGTATTACAAAGCATCCAGAATACATAGTGAACTCCTAATAGAAAAACATAACCTAATAAAAATGGATAAAATGTAAAAATAGGCATTTCACATACATAAAAATTAGGAATAGACTCCTAGTCAACATATAGAATTAATTCAACTGCATAGTTAGAAAGTTGCAAATTCTAAGAGAATCATAATTTCACACCTATCAGATTAACAATTATTAAAAGTTACATTTTTCCAGGAAAACGATTGCTCCTGGATTCTATATCTTTTGACATAGCCTCCTCCAGATTATAAAATCAACATAAATGATTCATAAAATCATGCACCATCCATGCTTTCAGTATCAATAGGAGACAGAATGGTATGAGTTGCAAATTACTGTGAGTTTGAAAAAATTAATTTCTAACAGGGTTGCCAGTGGAACACTGCTTCTGCCACAATTCTCTGAGTAAGGAGAATTAGGAAGATAGGGAAATTTAAAAATCTTCATGGACAAGGAAAGATGAAGAGAACATACATGAAAATCCTTCAGGAATAAAAACCTTAATACGTCAAATGTAATTCTCAAGCTGGCAGTTTCCAACCCCACTTAAAGGTCTGAAACTGACCAGGTACTGATTATTTCTGGGGGAGAAGGAGGTGAGAAGGGAAAAGATAGTACCATCTTTAGGTTTGATAGTGAAATGAAAGCAAGATGCAGTAAAATTACAGATACCATAAGAATGAAAGAAAAACATACCTAGTCCATTCCTATTCCTGCTCTACCATCACCATCACTGCCATTAAAAATGCTGTAGCACATTGTAATTGGTAGATGAACAATCTGTTATTTCACCTTATGAAACACATAGGAACGAAAAAAGCGGAGAAACCAATTTCAAATAAAGATATTTAATAAAAACTAGAAATGCAAATCAAGACATTTCAAAGGAAAACTTCCAGAAAATTTGAAAAATTAAGGAACAATAATTCCTCATTAAAATGTGAATTACACAACTATGGAAATATTCAGATAAGTATTTGAAAATATAAAAATGCCACCTATCATCAAAAATAAGGAAAAACAAATGATGGAAGAGGAGCAGATAATGACCAAAAAGATGAAGAAAGAAGAGGAAGAGTTAGAAAAAGAATTAGATGAATTAGAAAAAAGAGAAGAAGGAGGTGTAGGCAGAAGAAAAGGAGGAGGTGGGGGTGAAATTTAAACTAAAAAAGAAATCAGAGACGGAGATAGGTGAAGGATTAACTTATATACTTATCAAAGATAAGAAAATTATTTTTTTGCCCCTAAATGCATATGTATAATAACATTATAATGTGATTCTGTATGATCTATGATTAAAGGTTTATTAAGTATAATAAATAATAGCATTTGTTCATAGAACTTTTCTGACCACTGATAATGTCAGATAGCATTCACTGTTGTAAGTTTTTATAAGAAAAGAAATATAATGCCTTAAAAGGCCATGGGTATCAGAGATGAGAAGATACATGATAAACTCACTACTCTGTCTTTGAATCTGTGCATCACTATTTACAGCTGTTTAACTCTGGGAAAGGTATTATTCTGTACCAGATTCCTCCATCTACAAAGCATGTGTAACAGGAGTATCCATTCTCCAGGATGCTAATGATGCTAGAAGGAGAGGGAAAAGAGTGAACAACTGGCCCGGGACTTCTATCCTCCTTATAACTTATCTGACTAGGATAATTCCTAATGGAAAGATGAGTAGAAACTCTTCTCTAAAATTTCTTGGCTTATCCAAAGTGTTCATGTAAATAACTTGAATTGTGGGAGACAGCTAGCCTGAGAATACAAGTTAGTTATATAGCCACTTTACTGCTGTGTGAGATCAACCAAGTGTGAAAACTAAGAAACCCAAACCTAAACATCTCCTAGCTGACATCATACAGTCTTGAATCACTTGCAAACTAATGTGTTCCAAGGCAGTGTAGCTTCCAGATTATTAGTAAAGGTTTATTTTAAGATTCAGGATTCCTGTGAATTTGACCAGTCAGTTCTTTGCATTACTGCAGAGATTATGTGTATGAAGTTTGCAACACATCCTAGAATTTAGTTTTTACAATTAACACTAGAAATATTCTTTTCTCAGAACTTTTATTCCAAATTTCTTCCATTTAAGAGTTGTATTAAAAACAAAATAGCAAAAAGTTTAATTATTTTTGTTGTACATTCACAAATGTTGATAGTACATTTTATTAAATTAATTTTGTAAATTATTTTTAACACTGTGGATTTCTTGCCTCATATAATTTGGTTAATGTATTTTAATGAAATTAATTAAAAATACACTTGTGGTCAAAGACTGAAAAAGTTTGGGAAAGCTTTAGCATTTGGGGCAAGTTGCCTTTCTCGGGTGTAGTAGTTTATAAAGCTGTATCAAAGTACCACAGGCTCAGAAGCTTAAACTGCAGAAATTTACTGTCTCACAATTCTGGAAGTTAGAACTCCAAGACTTGAGAGTTGACAGGTTTGGTTCTTACAGACACATTTGCCAATATCTGTCTCTCTGTCCATTTTCAGCTGGTTGTTTCTCTGTGTCTGCATCTGAATTGTCCTTTCCTTTTAAGGACACTGGTCGTATTGGATTAGGGTCTCATATGACCTAATTTTACCTTACCTCTTTAATGACTGCTACTCCAACTACAGTTACTTTCTGAGGTACAGGTGTTTAGGACTTCAACATATGAATTTGGGTACACTTGGCTGAGCCCATAGTGCTATGTTATGTGAAAGGCAACAAGCCTTTAATTTGATTTGAGGTGGTACACCCAGAATGGAAAAAGGGCTTGGCATATGGTGTTCAATATTGATTGAATGAATCAACATAAGGCCTCACTTCAATAGTCTATTTTTAAATCTCACGCTTTCATTTAAGATTGAATGTATTAATTCTAACTACTTGGTAAATGTAAATAACTTTTTAATATAAAAGATGAAATTTCCTTTTTATGCAACAATATCAGTCTTAAATTGCTCAGACAATTTCTAAGACCAGTTCATGAAATTTAAATTTTTAAAATGTACTTTTTCTTTTTGAGAACTCTCCAAAACTTCGAATCATTTTGTGAAACTTGAATAGAAAATGGTAATTAAGAAGTATAGGGTTTTGAAATTTTGAAAATATTGGAGGGAATTAAAAGTATACAGCATTTGGTTGGGGAACAAACACGATCCCTTCAATATGTTTCCTTTTTGCCGAGCTCTTTGCACATTGTGACTCAAATGCAGCTGAATGCTCAGGCCAGCGACCCACGGTGCTGTCTTTCTCTGTTGACTATCAGGTTCTGGTATGAAAATGCTGGAGTGTTTACCCCAGCACAACTCACTCAGCTGAAGCAGGTATCCCTGGGCCATGTGCTTTGTGACAATGGTGACAATATGCAGCAAGTCCAGGCAGATGTCTTTGTACGGACACAATACGCACAGGACTACCTGAGCTGTAGTGAAATTCTAAAGATGGATTTGCGAGTGTGGCAAGACTGCTGCGAAGGTCAGTAATGACATAAATAACTACTTTTGATTTACATGCATGCGTGTTTATGTTTTTTTTCAATGCCAAAGATTACACAATTTAAAGATGCACAAGGAACAACGCAAAACTTTCCACTGGAAATCTGAAGAATGTTGATGCAGCGGACCCAGGAAGGACAGAGACAGCCCCATGTACCCAGCTTCTTCATCTCACATCTTCTGTTAGTGTGGAGAGGGGTTTGCTGGAAGAACCAGGCAGTAGATTCTTACTGCTCTACTCTAATCATTTGCCATTGGGCATATACACTTTAGGGGGTTTAACCGACTAGAGAGAAAAGGAAAATCATAGTAGCAGCTACCTTACACTCTTCATTCTCTATATGGTGTTTGCAGCCATGGTAATTTTAAATGCACGTAGGTCATAGCACTGGATGAAACTTTCCAGTGACATCGCATAATGTTTGACATCTATAATACCATTTCTTATAAACCATACTCTTCGTAAACTCTTCAGAAATAGCTGTATGATATTCAAAAAGAAAGGTGTGTTCTGTCCTCTTTTATTAGATGCTGAGGGAATTATGTCTCAAAAATATCAGATGACTTGCTCAAAGTCCAAAAATCAGTAAGTGGTATTCCTGGGCTAAGGAGATGTTTGTGTGCCGACACATAGAAATGACCTGAGGATGGGTGGTTCTGGAGCTGAACACACTGCATAATCATAGTGAGCAGCTGTCTGTTGTACATCAGGTGTTCATTGCTCCTGTGGCCCCTCCGTGTGCATGGTCTCCACAGTCGCATGCCCAAAGTGTCTAGAAATGATGTGCCTGTAACAGCTCTGGTTTCTCTGAGATGGAAATGGTGGTTTCCAACACAATAATAGTACTAGGTGCCCACTGGACAGGACAGGAAATTGCTACCCTCAAATAACTCAGAGTAGGGGAAGCAGCTCCTGGAATTATAATAGAATGTTCCACTGAAAGCACAGTGATATCAGAGTCATGACTGTCTTTTTCTTCATGATGGTATTTTATGAAATGAAGGAAAAAGTTATTTAATACCACAGGGAGGTTCATATTCTTTTCCTCAACTCAAGTTCTTAATGATTAGGGCCAGGAATAATGAAACACTTCCATATCTCCAAATCACAGTTAATCAGGGAAGAAATATACAAATCACATGGATGGCAGCTAGTGCCAATCCTTTTACTTTTACTACAGTGTCCTTCATGCTGGACACTGGGGCCAGTGGCAAAGGCAGAATAGGTTGCATGGCAGAGTGAAGGCTACAGTGAATGCAGCTGTGCCCTGCATAGATGCAGAGACTCAGTCCAGAAGCAAGAGCTGTGGTCCTTAAACCCACATGCACCGTTTGTAGGTATTCACACCTCTGGCCATCTGCTAGGTGTTTTATTCTATAGAGAATTGCTGGCTATGAGCCTTTCAAGGTGGGTATAATTCTCATTTTAGGTATGAGGAAATGAAGTTGCTGTAAACTAAGTATATGTTTTAAGATGGCACCAGTGGCCTGCAGGAGTCTGCTCTTTTCCTCGCCCCCACCACCTCCCAAGAGCCCACACAGGACAGGCACATGTCCCAGAGATGGTGAGAGTGGTGCTGCCCTCCAGCCCCATTTTCTGGTACTGGGGATTGAACTCAAGGCTTTTGCACTGAGCTACAACCCTAGCCCTTTTTTATTTTGATGTAAGACCTACGTTGTTAGGCTGGGTTCCCACTTGCGATCCTTCGGCCTCTGCTCCCAGAGAGCTGGGCTTACAGGTCTGTACCACCATGGCTTTTCCTTCCCTTTTATTGTCACTGCTCCATAGTGGAGGGAAGAAAGGAGAAAGTCTCGGGTTAGGTTGTAGTGCACCTGTATAGTCAGTATTCATTTTGGAAAATGTAATGCCGGGATTTAATAAGCAAAGGGGAGCAGGGTATAGAGTTTGTGCATCACTTTTTGAATGTAATTGTACTGGATACCTAAAATGTACCAATAAGCTCAATAAAAGAAAAAAAAAGATCTATGATCTTAAACTATACTAACAGTGCTCTCTTTCTAAGAGTGTCTCAAAAAATCTGGAAGCCCATTAGCCAGTAATAAACAAATATTTACTACTGCCAGGGATTTAGCTCAGTGGTTCCACTGCCTGCTTCACAAATGCAAGGTCCCAAGTTCCATCCCCAGTATAAAACAAAACAAAAATTATCTACATCTAACTTTGATAGGAAGAGGCCATGTTTTTGTTTATTACATTATCATTCTCAAAACCTCCCTTAGTTTCAGGAGGCAGATTGTTAGCAAAATCACCTAAGAATATATATGGGCTTTATGTTTGGAGTCTGGAAATGCTTATAATGAAAATGGTTATAAAAGGATGCATGTTTATTTTTTTCCATATTTTTGACTAACAAGAAAGAATTTGTCTTGCCGGGATTTAATAAGCAAAGGGGAGCAGGGTATAGAGTTTGTGCATCACTTTTTGAATGTAATTGTACTGGATACCTAAAATGTACCAATAAGCTCAATAAAAGAAAAAAAAAGATCTATGATCTTAAACTATACTAACAGTGCTCTCTTTCTAAGAGTGTCTCAAAAAATCTGGAAGCCCATTAGCCAGTAATAAATAAATATTTACTACTGCTAGGGATTTAGCTCAGTGGTTCCATTGCCTGCTTCACAAATGCAAGGTCCCAAGTTCCATCCCCAGTATAAAACAAAACAAAAATTATCTACATCTAACTTTGATAGGAAGAGGCCATGTTTTTGTTTATTACATTATCATTCTCAAAACCTCCCTTAGTTTCAGGAGGCAGATTGTTAGCAAAATCACCTAAGAATATATATGGGCTTTATGTTTGGAGTCTGGAAATGCTTATAATGAAAATGGTTATAAAAGGATGCATGTTTATTTTTTTCCATATTTTTGACTAACAAGAAAGAATTTGTCTGAAAACAAATTAAGGCATTCTTTAAAATAAGGGACTTCAAATAAAGGTGTTCAGTAAATGCTCAAAAGTGGACCACTTATCTATTGCTTAGGTTTCTTACATCACTCAACCAAAATGTTAATGTATGTAATTAGCACACATTGCTGACTGAATCTTTCAAAGCACCAAGGAATTAGTTTGTAGATCATAGCGCCAGAGCTCCATTATCATAGTGAAAAAATAAACAGCTGCTTTGGAATTAAATAGCCACTCCAGCAGTTCTAGAAACTTATCATTCTTAGAATGAAAGGTTTTATTCAACAGATGTTTAATGTTACTTTTATTTATTTATTTATTTATTTTTTGGTACTGTGGATCGAACTTGGTACCTTACTCTTGTGAGGCAGGTGGCATTACTATTGTGCTAAATCCTCAGCCCTAATATTACTTTTATGAAACAATTTTGTTTCAACAGGTCTGCTTCTTCAGTTCTGTTTCCCATGAATAATAGCCTTCTGGTTCATATTATCAGCATACTCCAAATATGAATTAAACTATAGTTTCTAAAAATCCTAGAAAAATTCTTCTCTCAAATATATAAACACATTTAAATTAACTTCAAATCTGTTAAAGCAGTAATAGTATAAATGTTTTGCACAGTAATGAAGTTGGATATGTGTATCTATGAGTTTTGTGTCTACAGATTCAACCAAATGCAGATAAAAAATACTTGAGGGCTGGGGTTACATCTTGAGTTAGTGTTATGGCTTGTATCTAGATGTCCCCACCAAAGTCTCATGAGGCCTAAGTGGGCTTTTTGGAGGTGGCTGCATCTAGGGTGTGTGATACTGAGATCAAGGGTGTGATGCTGAGATTGATTCATGGTGTGTTGCTAGGATTAAGGGTGTGAGTGCTACTCAGCCTAAGGGTAAAATGTAGGAGACAGAGGAGGGCAGCAGTCTTGCTTGCTCTTTCTACATCACTTGCTGCTTACTGCCTTCTTGTCCCCTGCCTGCAATGAACTGTTTCTCTTCTGTGATGTCTCTCTGCCATGTCACCCTGCATTGGAGCCAGCCAATTATGAACTAAAACCTCTACAGATTGTAAACTAAAGTAAACTTTTCCTCCTTAGAGTGTTGAATATTTTGTCTCAGCAACATGAAAAGTAACTAAGACAATTAGCACACTTGCTTAGTATGTGTGGTCTCCAGGAAAAATCACACACACACACATACACACACACACACACACACACACACACACAAACGGAGACGGGGGGGGACAGAGAAAGAGACCAAAATCACAGTAAAATATTTATCTTTACTGAATATGTGCAGAATTTTTTCTTGTAATTATTCCCTAAATAATATAAGAACTGCTTATACAGAATTTACATTTCAGTAAGTATTGTAAATAATCTAGGTATGATTTAAAGTATACAGGGGAATGTGAGTGTGTTCTGCCATTTTATAAAAGTGACTTGGACTTTCACAAATTTTGGTATCCATGGGGCCCTGGAACCAATCTCCCAAGCATACAGATGACCAGTGTTTCATTATTATTTGTTGGCAGAAGAAGGCATAATGCCTAAAAATGGACCTGGTATTTATGTCACTTATTTATAATGTTACAGATTCATGTGAGCAAGATAAGTGAACAAACTATGGGTGTTGAGTAATTGGACTTTGTTTTGATTTCCCACAACATTCATCCAACTTTATGCAATCTTACCCATGAATTTAAAATTTCTCTTCACTGACACTGGAAGTGATTGGAAAATAGTATGCTGAGGGTTTTTTCTGTTATGCTCTAAAATAGTCACATTACTCCATGTAGTTGTGTCTGGTTAATACTTTAAGTACATTTCTCCAAGTCATTCCATATAAAAATATAACTCTTCTTACTGCTTAGTGTTTAATGGATATCACATATGCTAAAATCTATGCAGCTATACTTTACATATAACCTTGCTCATATTTCTGTTATCTGCTTTCTACCAGAATTCCAAAAATAAAATCACTGAATTGAAGGATATGTGTTTTCTGTTTTTTCAAATGTGATACTTAGTTCTGAAGTGGCAAACTTTATA